TTGATGCGCCGTCGCAGCCCATGTGTGGCGGCACTCCCTCGCCCATAACTCAACGATACGTAAACACTATTGTTGTTATAATTTAGTGAATATTTCATATAGGTATGTAACTACTCGTACAATGACCATTTCCTATATATGGACCCTTTTTTTTGTATACGTATCTATGTATTTAGTTTTTTTTTTGTGCGTGAAATAAGAAAAACAAGTGCCAACGGTTTTGTATAAAAATTACCTGTTTCATGAATTAATATTAAAAATATCAAAATGCATCTAGGAAAGTTATTAAAGTCTTTCAATTATAACGAATAATAAATGTGAATAAATCAACCTAACGTTTACAAACTATGATCATGATTTGTTTACATATACGTACTGTTAACTGTCAAGTGGTTTATAACTTTAGTGGCAAGATACAAAATTAAACATTTTATTATTTATAGCTTGAAATGAATTCGTTGGTAACGTATTGAAAAATGTGTTAGCGCGACGGATTACAACACGCCGTCGCCTCGCGTACTCCCCGACGGTTACCGAATACCGTTTCAACTGAATCATTGGCTCGCACCTGCATTTGAACTATGGTTTCTCATTTCACTGAACAGATGCTACAAATATACATGCCTTTGACTGCAAGCCAATTCGATTTCACGGACCGACCGTTGTCAATAAGGTTCCGTGCACAATCAGGTAGACTTTTTAAAAATACCATCTCTGCTGCGTAGCCTATGACTAACGCGTCGTTTTTTGGCTTTTGCATTATCGATACACTCATAAAATTATATGATATGAGGTTGGAATCTCAGTTTTCTTGTATAGTTGCTGTCACATCCTTCAAACGAAAACGCAAGACCACTTGAAGACAGAAAATTCCTAATGGCATACATACGCGCGCGTTCTCGCAAAACGCCGCTGGTATATATTCCATTTAATTAGAAAACGAAAATCCATCACATCAGATCATATTATTTTGCTAGGTATTCAACATAAGCCCTGAAATTAAGTTTGTAAGAGTCGCTCTAGATTAGCTGTTTTACTAGTTTAGTTGTGAAGAACCCTTTTCAAGTCGTGAAATTGAGAGTCCTCAATCTTCTAATATTTACCATTTGGGGTACAGTAATTTTTAAATTAAATTCAAGGGATCATCCTCAAAAGTAATGGCTTTATGGAAGGCGAGGTCGAAGCGTTGTTAACTTAGTTAAGTACGTTTTCTGAGCTCAATGAGGGTTGAGGTCGCGGTTTGTGCGGGAACAAATAAAGTCGTTAAATGCTTTTTGTCTCCCCCGTTGAACCCAAAAAAAGAATTCACTGAGACAGTTGTTTAAACAGTAAGAACTAAGTAAGCTATTGTTGTCAATTGCGTTTCTTTAAACGAATATAAACATTGTTTTATTTAATTTACCCCTAAAAATCCAAATAACAAATCTGGGTCAATACCCCTTGTATTGGCCCAGATTTTTTATTTGGATTTTTTATAACGAAATATATAGATTTGAGTTAATTTAATATTGGTAAGCTTACGTTTATTTTTAGCATCTTGCAAAGGTTTAGTAACTATCTTGAGATTCAAATTTCAATGACTTCTGTGTTTTGTATCATCATGAAGCTTGTAAATAATATGTACTTTTATAATTGATGGCGGTACAGTAATATGGTTTGATTACGCTAGTCTGATGATAGATTGGTCGATGATGATAGCCTGGAAATTCAATTACGGACATTGAAAGGCTATTGGGAAACTCATTGGATTTTACATTATCATATTTGTCTTAGCACTTACATGCGTACACAGGGAGTTTTTTTTTAAACCAAAGTTTATTATTTACAGAGTTTTTTTTTCTTCCCATATTTATATTTAGAAACATACGTATAATTATTTGTGAGTGTCTATACGTTTTGTTGTGTTAGCTTCAAACATATATTTTAATAAGCGGTTGGATGCGAAAGCTTTCTCTACGATTCCGAATGCGTTAATTAAATATTAGTTTAACACGGTTCTAGAGAAGGGTTACCGAGAATCAATATTTACTAGGACAGTACGTTATTATTCATAAGTTTTGTTAACTTAGTAAATATTTGTACAAGTTTATTATGTTCAATATACTCGTATAGGTTACGCGAACTACTGAACTAAATTTTTCATGTCGTTAGTAAACATTAGAATATTACTATTAAAAAATCTGTTTGTAACTGACTTTTTTACTACTTTTTCTTCTATGATTTACATTTTATGATTGTATTAAAAACATCTACCTCGTATACCCAAATAACTGCAGAAAATGTACTGCGAGATGCATCTTCATACTGATGGAATAGGAATTAATATACATATCATAAATATTTCATTAACAAGAACAGGCTTAGAGCTAACCCGATGCTTCCCGTGAGTGCTGTAAAAGGCGAGAAAGGAATTCACCAGAGAATAGGCAGCACGATTGTCTGAGTTCAAACCAGCAGACTGCGGTCGTCAATCGCTATCCTTAAACTGTTAGGTCCTCTTTGGAAACGCTCGGACAGCTATTAACAAATCCCACCCATCTCTGACTCAACCCGTACTCAATCGTCTAGGCCTTCGGGCCACAAGAGATCCATCCCAAAAAGGCATTTAATGGTAGTAGGGTGTATTGAAAGTATTCGAGGGTAGGCAATACTATGCTGCTTATTTCTGTCACGAAGAAGTATTTCGTTCCAGTTCCAAATGTGAGACAGCCATTATACAAAATATAATTGAAACCTAGCACCTAAAATCTCCAGGAAGATGGTGTCATTCACATTGTGATGTCTATGGGCATCTTTATAGCATATAAACACTGTATACCGGGTGAGCTGCGAATAGGTCGTTTTAGTATGATGCTCTGTTACTTTTTTTTTTTTGCTTAGATGGATGGACGAGCTCACAGCCCACCTGTTGTTAAGTGGTTACTGGAGCCCATAGACATCTACAACGTAAATGCGCCACCCACCTTGAAATATAAGTTCTAAGGTCTCAGTATAGTTACAACAGCTACCCCACCCTTCGAATCGAAACGCATTACTGCTTCACGGCGGAAATAGGCGGGGTGGTGGTACCTACCCGTGCGGACTCTCAAGAGGTCCTACCACCAGTGATTACGCAAACTGCTTACTGTACTGAAATAGATCTTTATAATAAGTAGTTACTTCTGCAAGTAATAATTATGTTTCTCAAATTTCTACAAGTTGGCTGCGGGCAAGTGAGCAAATGGTTTACCATGATAACATTACGGAGGTATAAACGTGAATTTATTTCGGGACGCTTATAACAATATTTTGTGATCTTGTTTGTTTGCCTATTTCAAAGAATAAAGCTTCCGGCTATCCCTTGATAGTGGAATCAATGGTTTGTTTTATCCAATACTAAAAGAATAACGGATACTTGGCACAAAAAATAAACGTAGTGAAAATGTATGAATGGGTCTTTGGTAGTCCCGTTAATAAACGAGTGACGTATTGTAATCCTTCACCTTTACCTCGATAGCGCCTTATCTCGAACCACAAATGTTCCCAGAATCGCGTAAATGTGGCTCGCTCGATTACTCGAATTGTACAAATTTAGCTAATTATCTCTACGTTGATAACAATAACGTGCGTCTGAGTAAAGCTACTTTTACGGTTCAATGTTGCGATAAAAATCGTGTTCATGATTAAAAACCAGTTTAAATTTATCTTTGAAAATTAAGAAAAATTAAAATGAAATGAAAAATTAAGAAGCAACTAACTCAATTTAATTTAGTATTTTCTTCAGATTTCACGAGCCGTAAATATAATTATAATTACTTTTACGGGTTAAACTCGCTTTTTTTTTATTTGTCACCATATTATTATTATTACTTTTTTACTGCCGTATAGGCAGACTAGCATACGGCCCACCTGATGGTGAGTGGTTACCATCGCTCATGGACGTCGGCAATGCCAGGGGCAGAGCCAAGCCGCTGCCTATCATTTAATACTCTCCAAAAGCCTCGTTTGAAGAAGGACATGTCATAGCGCTCGGGAAACACCGTAGAGGGGAGCTCATTTCAGAGTCGGACGACGTGAATTTTCGGGATCACAAGCGACTAAGGTGTTTTTAAAAGTACTTGTCAAACTAGTCTTAATGTATTTTAGTTTTAAAGAGCGTTTCTGAAGAGCTGTTTACATGATTGCACTTGTGATGGAAACTCTGCTTAAATTAGTCCCACCGTTGAAATAATATAGGTACTCGACTTAGCTCTTTCGTTAACCTGATAACAAAGAGATATATGTATAAACCAAAGTCTTTAAAACTAATAATTAGTTGAGTAGTTTTGTCATTTAGTTTAGTAAGTTAAGGCTTAGTTCGAACGAATAAATAAACTAATCATACAAAATCAGGTCCACCTAAACACCATACTTTATTATTATTTTTCTTAATGTACACACTTTTTGTTACAGGCTTAAAATTAATTGCCTTTAAACTGTAGATAAGAAATTACATTAAGATGCCATAAATAATTATTTAGAAAGAGGTTTAGTAATAATAACGCAGACGTAACTATGTAGTAATATCATTAAGTTTGCCAACAATAAAGTAATTTGATTGAGTTTGAGAATATAGATAGATAATAATATGTTTATTGGATCGATTCTGACACACATGCCGTGACATAGTCTCTAACAGCAGACCCGAAAGAAAAAACACGGATTCGTGTTGAAGTAATAAACGTTTACACCACGTTTACTGGTAGTAGGACCTCTTGTGAGTCCGTACGGGTAGGTACCACCGCCCTGCCTATTTCTGCCGTGAAGCAGTAATGCGTTTCGGTTTGAAGGGTAGGGCAGCCGTTGTAACTATACTGAGACCTTAGAACTTATATCTCAAGGTGGGTGGCGTATTTACGTTGTAGATGTCTATGGGCTCCAGTAACCACTTAACACCAGGTGGGCTGTGAGCTCGTCCAGACATCTAAGCAATAAAAAAACAATATTTTTACAATTGTTTCATGTTTGTGATGTAATTTCAGAGACCGTCATGATAACGCCGACGTTCAAGGCACGCTCGACCTCTCCAGGTATCAGAGTGAGATTTGAAAATATGCACGTATCTTGTGTAATCTCCCTTTAAATAATAATTTAACTTTGCCGATATTCATATGCTATTAGTTAAAAGCAAAAAAGAGAATATTTTTCGGTGATCTTTAATATTTAATGATTCCCTACATGTATTTTACTTTGATAACTCAGATCCAATGTCGAAATAAAGAACACGTTATTTTCTCGGAAACAACAAATTCACGAGATTAGTATTTGTGGAAATGGAAATAGGGCCCTTGTGTCGTGAAATACATGTCATTTTTTTATTAAATATGTATGTAGACGAAACACGTGACAAGATTGTAGCAAGATTGTTACACATTTTAAAAGACACGGAAAAGTTATTTTCGAGATAAGCAATAAACGCGTGAAATTAAATTCCAACATTAAGGAAACTTCTTGGTTAAGAGGCCTCTGTATATTTTTTATGTATATTTATCGTATATGTATATTTAGTTGTGATTCAGAAATACTTTGTTGGTAAAGCATATTAATATTGGGCAAATAAAAAATAAAAATTGGGTTTATCATAAAACATGTAAGTATGTAATTTGTTTGAAGTTTGCATATGAATGGTATGATTTAGCCTTGGAATTATTTTTGTCTGCCTTATTGATTTTAGGAAAATACGCGAAATATTTCAAATTCATATTTTTTTTTTTTAAATAGTTTGAATTGAATTGATGATTTGCGTTATCGATGTGGACTAATCAAAACTTAACTTTTGTTGTTGTTTTAAAATGTAACTATGTGTTTTTGTGTATGATGTTGTATTTTTAATTAACCCATATTCTGTGTATATTTTCAGGATCTATAAGCTAGTCATTTTGTTGATTGCCGTCATTACTGGAATGATTGTTCAAATCTATTATTTCAAAGAAAATTGTGATATGATAAATTTGTAGCGAAAGTAAATGATATCAAAAATGGTGAGCTATATGCAGACGTTTATAAGACAACTCCGTTTTTATGAGTGTCGACAATCATATCCGAATATCCATAAAAAGGCAAAGTCATAAAACGGGCATTAGTCCCTCCATGTTACTGCTGACGAGGCGAAATTCCAACGTTATGCCGCAGCGGATAGAAAATGGTGTAATTTCACCAATTTGATTCGTCTTTATTATCTAAAGCATAAAGTCTATTTCCGTAAGTTAATTATCTGGTAAATTGAAGCATATTGTTATATTCTGACGGTTGACCTACGGTATCAAGGGTGAAAATGTTTTACAAATTTTATATGTGAAATTTAACGTCACATTAAATATAACACTGGTGTGTGAATGTTTGTGATTATTCTACAAAGACCAACTGATAATGGGTTTTGGAAATGCTCAACCAATTTTTATTGGTACGACGATGACGTTATTATTATATCATCAAGCTATTTATGGTAATAAGTTGAATTGGTTAGCTCATTAGTTTATATTCCGTGACCTTCTATGGCAATATTATATACTCAAATTCGGAAACTTTTTGTAAAGAAGTTGACAGTTAATAGACTTTTACTTTTCGACAAAATACGTGTAAGGTATCATTTTTCTTTTGATTAATACTAGATCCCTTCTATATTTTATTTACGTACGGAACGTTATCATACATAGATTTTTCACACAATTTAATGTTGATAATGCAAAAACGTATTTTAAATATTCAAAGAATAAATTGATATAAATTAGTGACGAATTAAACAAAAAAAAAACAGAATTCTACGTAACGAGTTGATAATGTGATGATAATGAATTTTTAATGAAATACGTACTTAACAAATGTTCACGATTGACTTCCACGGTGAAGGAATAACATCGTGTAATAAAAATCAAACCAGCGAAATTATAATTTGCGTAATTACTGGTGGTAGGACCTCTTGGGAGTCCGCACGGTTAGGTACCACCGCCCCGCTTATTTCTGCCGTGAAGCAGTAATGCGTTTCGGTTTGAAGGGTGGGGCAGCCGTTGTGACTATGCCGAGACCTTAGAACTTATATCTCAAGGTGTGTGGCGCATTTACGTAGTAGATGTCTATGGGCTCCAGTAACCACTTAACACCAGGTGGGCTGTGAGCTCGTCCACACGTCTAAGCAATAAAAAAATGCTGATTAAGAATCAGTAGATAAAGAGGGGGAAATTTTTAAGAGGGTCCAAGTAAGCAGGAGTAGTAAAAACCGCAAGTAATCGACGGAAATATTTCAATACTTTCTAAATTTTATACTTCAACTCAGCGTTTAAATGAGAATTCCCTGAAATAAATTCTTACTTAATATTAAATGTGTTTAATAAATATATAATTGGAAATTTAATACTATGATATCATAAATTTTTTAACGTGACTGATATTCTTGACGCTGATTTCAATGAACGTGCTATGTGATATTCGGAAATTGAATAAAACGAATATCCTAGTTCATGTTTCTTAGTTTTGTAACGTTGATATATTGATTATTAATAGTTAATGATATCAATATTTTAACTGTAATCCTATCCTATTATCTCTCGTAAATGAGTGGCGCCGTGTGTGGCCTCACAGACAGCGTGTAAGCCGTGTAAATATTACGTCATATTGTGATAACAATAAGATCACGCACTTCCTGATATTTTACACAGTTATTTTAACGCGAGCCAATAGCTCATTTTATTTTTGTTATTACGACTAATTAGGCACAATGAAAACAAATGTTTTTGAAATATGTACTTACCTCTATTTGATGATGTGGTAATTTTAATCAAATCAAATCAAAAAAAAATTATTCTACATAAATGAAAGTACATACTTGTTGAACGTCAAAAGAACTACCGCCAATTCACAAGAACTAGCCTCCGTCCTGAGAAGAATTGGCAAGAAACTCAGCGGGCACGTCTTTTTTTTTTTTTAAATATGAAATTATTATTTATTTATTTTTTAATATTAGATTTTGTTTCCCATTGAGGTGGCGGCTACCATAGACATAGACACAACACTAAATGCTGCCCATATTGAGATCAGAAGTCTCAATTGTATAGTATAATAGCTTTCCTACTATTGAAATCGAGCCGAGTAGGCTTACATTACGCTTACCACTAGTGACTACACAAGTTATAAATTTCGCGGGTTTAACTGCGTTACACGATGGTTTTTTTTGCAATATCGGAGTAATTTAATAAGTGGCTAAGTGTGTATTAGCATTAGAAAAAAATATACCTGAATGCCGGATTTGGATTTGAGCCTCGGTTTAGTTGTATAAGTCGATACAAGTATAGTAAGTATTGGCGAAACAAATTAAGTGGGACGATAAGGATTACTAGGATAGAAAGACACGAAGTCGGAGCCAGATGGAATTTTTCGAAACTCTCCATCCGTTTAGTGATAATCATCGACCAAGGTGGATCCTGATACAATAGTTGAAATGGTGGTCAGGCCCTTTAGCGAGGCGATGTACATAATCAAGAACTTTTAGCAAGGGTTTGAAGGGAAGGTCAGGTATATAATTGAATTGAATACCTCATGTTTCAAAGTGAGTGGCGGCATTCACGCTGCTATATCCATAGACACCGATATCTACTTTAAAGTAAATAGACAGTGAGATCTTTTACTGGTCTATGCTATTTAATTATTTATTATTTTATTTCAGTCTTACAAATTAACAGTATAACCAAAACATTTGTAAGTTATAATAATGTTACCTTAAGTAAGTTCTAGCAACAGCTACAAATCGCCGCAAGCCATCATGGAATATATCCGTTTCCAGAGCATAGGGTAGCTAGCCATTAAGTAGCGAGACAGCACGATGTGTCAGAGAGTTAGCGCTGTGCTATAAAAAAAGAATGTCTTAGCACCGGATTATGAAGTTTGATGTACACAAGCGCGGCTAAAAAAAGAACGTTTTTTACTTCATCATACCTGAAAAGCGACCGTATTCTAGTTCCAATTCTCAATCCACTCGATTATGAATGAAATTACGAAGTCCTTATGTAATTTTTTTTTAACCTAAATATTTCGTGTGCTTTGTTATAAAACGTCACGAGTCGGTTCCTTTATTCCCTTAGCCGATTTTATACGATAGCGATTCAACTGTAAACGCTACATATTGTGACTATGTATAAGAATTATTTCATGTGAACGAACACAACGTAAATTTTATCTCACAAGAAGCGCCTTCTGAATAAAAACTGTAAGCCCGCCAGGCCAGCGTAACAAACACACGATAAGGAATGCAAATGTGAGGCTCTCATAGTAATGTCATTGAGACGAGACATTTAGCTCTACCGGCACTAACCGCTAAATTTAGCCATGAACATTGCCCTTTTTACTCGCCAACCGTGAATGAAATGTTTGACAAAACGTTTAATTGAATGTTCTGTGCGTAAATTTGTACATGCTATGGCACCAAAAAAACATTTTATTACCGTATTCAGTGATTATAGGAGTCAATTGACATCGCAACTTGAGACATGAGGTCGAGGTTTCATTTATAAGAAACGACTTTATTTTTTATTGCATAGATGGGTGGACGATCTCACAGTTCACCTGATGTTAAGTAGTTACTGGAGCCCATAGACATCTACAATGTAAATGCCGCCACCCACCTAGAGATATGAGTTCTCAGTATGGTTACAACGGCTGCCCCACCCTTCAAACCGAAACGCATTACTGCTTCACGGCAGAAATAGGCAGGGTGGTGGTACCTACCCGCGCGGACTCACAAGACGTCCTACCACCAGTAAGGTCCACGTACGACTTTCTAGCACTCGAAACTGGTATTACGCCAGAAATAGACAGGATGATGATGTCTAATCTTGCGGAGTCACAATACCTAGGGGTATTATAACAGGTATGCAGAGCTATGAATTTCTAGGCTTGCCTGCAGGATTTGGATTCTGGTATAGTCGCATCTTTGAAAATGAAAAAGTGCCTACACCAAAGATAATGTACAAAGTTTATAAACTTAATAGCCGTACTCGCCCGCTTCGCTGGGCATTTAAATTTTAACATTATTATTTGT